ATACTTTTAATTACTCATAAATTAATTTATTTTTTATTGATTAAGTCGACTATTTACACATATTGGGAAGTTCATGTAACTTGCCTCAAGGCTAAATACCAATACCAACTAATTAAAGCAAGATTTTTTGTTTTTAGATGAATTGGGACGACGCTCAACAATATTGTGACAATCATGGTATGACTTTAGCAACAATTATTAACGAGTCCGAACAAAAAGAATTAAGATGTCATATAATTAATTCAGGTTAGCACACTAATAAAGCTCAAAGTGTTTATCATTGGTGCTCACTTTTTTTTACTAATTAGGTTATATTCTGAAACATTTCTGGACTGGTGGTCACAAAGTCGGTAATACTTGGAAATGGCTTAGTGGTGATCAAATGGTATACACTGGATGGTATCCTCATCAGCCAGATAACTTTTTTGGGGTCGAAAGTTGTATGGAAATTTTAGAATTGCTTGATTCCTTTGGATGGAACGATATACATTGCAATACTCGAACGATATTCCCATTGTGTCAAACAAAATCGCAAATAGAACCCAGAGGCGAAACCGAGGTGCAGAGTATTTAAGATCAAGATCTTTAATTCGACTTGTATAAGAAAATATTCACTGTTGAATAATTTATTTTATATTTTCTGTAAATTATAAAGGACTAATCAAATACATTATATTATAATTATATACTGTTTTTCATATTCCCAGTTTTTTTTTCAGTAGTGGACTACGATTTGAAAAGTACAAAATATCTATATTATATATAAATCATCATTAATTAAATTCAATATTTTATAGATTACGACAATATAATAACTATTTTCATTATGTATTATTGAAATATTACATTTATTATGTATTATTACATATAAGGGTGGTCCTTAATATGGATATTTTTGAATTTCCTTCCGATGGCTCAAATGGTTCCAAATTGATAAATAACAATTTTCTGAAAGCTTTTGCTCCTAATATTGTCTTTTAGATAGGGCGCAATTCAATCAAAGCTTTGTATGGAACCATTTGGAACCATTTGGAACCATTTGAGCCCTAGGAAGCAAGGAAATTCGAACATGTCCATATTAAGGACCACCCTAACTTGCCTCAAGGCCAAATGTCAATAACAACTAGTTAGATCAATATTTTTTGTTTTTAGATGAATGTATATATACCTAATGTATATATACTAGCTGGCCTGGCAAATGTAAAAGCATCAAAATATATCTAGAAAATTTTTAGTATAAAAAATTACTAACTAATTGTGAATATGGAAATATGTAAGTGAAAGAGGCTAACACAAATAATATTTTTATAAAGGTTTATGCATTGCAAAGCATGTCATATATAATTGTTCCTGGGGCATATTGATAATCATTGCAAGTGCATGACTAATTTCAAACTGATTTTATTTAACTTGAATTGGCGTATTTTGTTAATTACAAAGCAAAATCCAAATTTAGTTAAGAAACTTGATAAAAAGTGTTAGGGTTGGACAACTTTGATAAAAATGAATTTTTTTTCTAAGTAAATATTTAGGTTTTTTATAAGTTCAAGTAAATCTGAACTAAAATTATGTGAAAACAGAATAAAAAAGTAGGGTTGTGTGTATTTTTTAATTACAAATTATGAAAAAAAAATTTAAAATGGTCTAAAAACTAAAAAAAATCTGAAGAAAGGACAATCCATACCACATAGGGGTATGGAAAATAGATTGTCCGATTCTCAGGCATACCTAATGTGATTATAAAATTTCATAAAAATCGGTTAACGAAGAGTAGTTTCACGTATAAATATACTAAAGCGATTCTGACTTTGTGTCGTAAATTAACACATTTAGAACGCGCGCATCTTGGTGACATAAGTGTATGATTAGTAAGACATCTAGTCATTATTTTACGACAAAAAGAAAAAAAAAGTTTCTTGAAAAATAATTATTTATTAATTCTTCTAAAGCATTTTACGCTTATATATTTTTTTCAAGATTCATTATTTTATTATACATTTTATGATCGAGTGATACTTACAAATAGGATTTATTATATATATAAAAACCGACATTTTAAAAAAATCGGTTTACAAATAGTATTTTTCTTGGGGCGGTTTTAATCGGTTTAAAAGGAATCAAATATTTGTTGTTTATGCATAGTTTTTGCATATAATGGTTAAATTATTTTATAATAGTGTAACAAAGAAGGCTATCTATTAGTAACATCGTTTTCATTGAAAACCGGTATTTTTTTTAATAAATCGACAAACTTTAATTGAAAATCATTTTAAGTATCAATTAGCACTTGTATGAAAATAACTTGACTTATGCAATACGAGAATTTCTCGCAAAAAATGTATCTGATATTTTAATACTTTGTTTTTTAAACTCATTGTTGTATGATAAAATTTAGTGTTGACAGTAAATCACAAATTTGTACGTATAACTATGTAGAAAATAAGTATATAACTGTCGGCTTTTTAAATTCGGTTTTGAAAACCGGTTTTAGGAAAAAAATTATAAAATTCAAAAATTAGTTTTTTAGTAAAAAATACCGGATTTCAATATATGAATCACTTAATTTTTTTGTGATTTTTGTTTTGTTAGAATTATTCGAGCACATAGTTATTTTTATAAAAACACTATACCGGTTGAACCGTTTTTTCGACAAAGTGCTACTCGAAAACCGGTTTTCTAAAATGTTGGTTTTTGTATGAACCCAAAAAAATATTCTGAATGTATTATTTTTTATCGAGTATTAGTGAACATTATAAAGTTGTTATCAAATTATGTTGAGTAAATAATTTATCAGCTTGACTTCTATAAACATGTGTGATAATGCAACGAACTACATGACAAACGTATGTATGTCAGTGCGATCGAATCGATAAGTGGGCGTGCGAGCCTGGTACCTAATGAAAATTTGGCATATGGTTAATAATCATTAATATTGCAAAATTTCAGAGAAAATTTTAAACAAATTCTGACGTCAGTTTGAAATTTCATATCGAACTTAACAAGGTGCACGCCTTGGTGCGATTTATATTGTTACACTTAATGAATTCTATGGTTCGATGTCGATTATTGGGATAATATAGATTTTTTTTTTGAAAATTTTGAACAAATGTCATCACACGTTCAAAATTTATTATTGTTAATACGCATTATATATGTATATATATACACATATGTAGTATCAATATGTTGGATTTGCGAACAAAAATTTTGTATTGTAGCATTATTGCACAACAATCTATCAATAATGTCGTGTATTTTGCTTAAATATAAATTTATATTCTGGATCTCTCATTTGGAGCTGTATATTTTTTATAAGTATTTCATAAAATATATCTAATTATGGTAGTAAATTTAGAAATTTAACAAATTTAATCAAACTCATCCATATTTTCTTTAGTTCAGCAATTAAATGCCAATATGATAACAAAACTAAACGTACTCGATGATGATGAATTTAAATTGATTCAATTATATCGGTTCAAATAAAAAATAATCTCACAATTAGTTACTGAGTTTATGTATTAATTTAAGTCTATAAGTCATTATATTGGAACTAGTCAATTTGACTGAACCATTAATAAATTTTAGATACATTTTTTATAAAAATTCTTCTATGCTATGTCAGTTAATATTTAAAATTAATTCCATAATTTCATAACCATAACTGTAATTGACGTATATACTTGTCATGGAGAACCGACAGAATTTTGTGTATTGACAAGTATAATTAATACAAAACAGTGACCATTTGCTATTTTATTTGAAATTTTTTAATAAAATATATATTCCAAGATTTCAAGTTTTTTAGAATATTTTGAGACTGTAAAAAATAAGTGGTTGTAAGTTGCGTTTTGCCACTATTTTGCTTTAAGGTAAGCGGGATAAACTTCCCAAAATGTGAAAATAATTTACTAAATCTATAAGAATTAAGATAAATCAATTGTTAAATTTACGCAACGCAAATATTTCGTCAGAAAAATCTCAAGATATCTAACTATTGCGAATATAGAACGTTTTAATATCATGCTTCAAGTTATTATATTATAAATTAATTTACATAATATTATTAGTATCAGCAAAAATGCAGTTTTGTTTTTTTTTGCTGTAATTAATTTAATTAAAATATTAGGTTGTCAAATAACTCCCTTCCGCCTTTTTGTATTATAAACCAAGAGCAAAAAAGCGGAAGGGAGATATTTGACAACCTAATAATTGGTTTTCTATGATGAGTTTAATTCTATATAATATCCCAAATATGTATATGAAATAACTACTGAGTTATAATTTAACTGGAATTCCCATTTTTATTCTCATTTGATGAATTTTCAATCTAATATTGAACCCACGTAATATTTATATGTTTCCTAAAAAAAATTGTATGGTTAATAATTAGCCATCGACCTGTAGATAAGCATCAAAACATCTAATTGAATGTTGTTTTGGCTTATGAATGAATCCTTACTTACAACCAAAGATGATATAATAAATTCATAATAGAAGTATCCATCTCACATGACGTCGAAACTTTATTTATTCTATTTTAAATTTTCTACCATCTGTAATGTGGATCAAAATTAAAATTGATTGGTAACTAAAAACCATTCCCTGCCTCAGTCGACGTATTCGTTGAATAGTTAGTTGAATGACATGAAATTGGATTTCCTATCCTGCCCCTTCGAGGATTGAATCCAGGCCGATGGCGTCGTTCATTCGATTTGACCTTTCTACATGATTTATTCCCCTTTTGGTTTATATTATTATTGGCGTGGGGACATTACACGAAACGCTTATATTACATTACATTGCACTAGTTACCATAGTCGAATCAATGAGGCTAATGTAATGATAGATATAAATTTTTAGTATTTTTGAATATTTAGAAGACAATTCTCTAAAAAAATAGAAATGTGGTAAATATGATAACGCTATGTTGAACTCTGTCTGTCTTTACTGTAGGGTATGCCATCTAACATTTTTCATTTTCATTTTCATTTTTTCTTCAACGGTCAGCCGAGGTTTTTTGAAGTAAAACTTCTTTAGGCGCGATATGGGTGTAAAAATTTTTAGGCGCGACACGGGTGTAAATCCGTACAAATGCAACGAAAATGCCAACGTGTAGTTGAACACTACGACGCCGTAAGCGCTGATGTCGCGAGTATCCACTCCCGTCATGTCATGCGTAAGTCGAGCGCTAAACCCTATATGAACTTGCATTAATTGAATCACGTTTTTTTTACAAAAGAAGAGGTTGCTGTATTATGTCCTCATGGAATAAGACTTTTCTTAGAGAATAAATGTGCCATGGAATATAATAAATTTATATTGAATCTCGTTGAAGACAAAATAATATCTACTGCCACGGATATTTATGTAGGTTGCCATGCGACAGATCAACAATCATACATTCGTCAGCAGTTTCACAAAAATCGGTTATTGATACCGGGGCTTTGCTGTATGAAATAATTTTAGTTCTGAATAAATTTTACATAATAACAACTAATATTGATGTAAGTGATGGCTTAGCTAATGGTTGTGTGGGAAAATTAGTGTACATAGAACGTGGCGATAATGATG